GGCTTCTTCTTGCCCGTTCATCGTACAACAGTCTCATTATTTCTCTCCCCGGACTTCCTAGGGCCAAGGAACACGGGGGCCATATTGTTTGCATTGATGTTTGAGTTGACGCCAAAACATATAATCTTGCTTGAAGATGCCCGTACAGACACTGCATCGTTAACCACTAATCCTTTTGCCTTTGTTCACGTTTCCTTGAGTGTAATCCGCAAGTACAAGCAGCAAAATCCCTCCTGCTAAATCTCCAGATGCCTGAAAGGACGTCACCTTAGTTATTCCAATTTTGGTTTTCCAACAATAGTTCGTGACATATCGTGTCAGTGCGGTGCCTCCAAACTCGGTAGCTCCATCACCGGACTGCCGATATATGCTTTCTGGGATTCTAGAACAATTGTCTCAGCTCAAACAGTGGCAGAATTATATTCAAAAGTTTATCCCATATTACCTGCTTTTGGTTTGTGTGTGGCGGTTGGTTTGTGTGGCGGTCACTCACTGGATAACGCATCATAAATGCTCGAACTACGTGACTGTTTCTGTCCTCAATGCAACCTTCGCCAACAACACGTGCAATACAGCTCCCCGCCGCTACCACCGGCGTCACGCCCCGGGCTTACGAACTTCAAAACATGAGGTCAAGTGGCTTTTACGTTCGTGAAAGTATCAAATGCGAAGTGCCGCCTATCTCTTCACAGCGCACACAATAAATGGGCAAGAAACTTGGCCCAACGCACGCACAGAAAAGGAGGTCAACCGAGCTCTGCTAGTCGCCGCCAAATTTCACATTCCGTCTAGTAAAAACATGCACATTCATTCCAGCGTGTTATTTTTTCACCGGGCAGCTTTATCAAGCTCGAACTACGGCTCTGTCATGGCTGTTGTTTTTCTTCAGATGAAGTTCTGAAATCCGCACCTTCATGCCTCAAACTCAACAGGTCCAAATATTTAGGTGGCAAAGCAACTCTTGGTGTGATACCTCTCGAGCGCCATGGAAACTAGATCTTATTCATCGTTTTACGCCTCTTCTTGAGAAGCCACTCCAAGTACATGACTATGTCTTAGCTGGTACGTATGCTTTTAAGTATATGAAGTTCATTTGAATCATTGCCCGCTTACCCATAGCTATTTTCCCCCAGAACCCGGTTTACAGCTCTGTAATGTGAACCCTGACCGTATTATATCTCACGGTCTACATAACAGGAGCAAAGTAGATATAGGCCGATTCCGATCCACAAAATCCTGGCCGAAATTCCCGGCGCTAATTCACCTGAAATCACCACATATCTTAATCCACTTTCGGTTAAAAAGGTTGAATTAATCGCGCAACCGCGTCACTGCATGAGCATGTCACGGGCTTCAACCAAACCATTAGATAAGATGGGTGATGTGCTGCAAGCGAAAAACTGGCTACATCTGTATAACATACGTGAAGATAATTAAAATACGCAGTCTGATCATACGCAAACCTAACTTTAATTCAAGTCTGAGTTTGATATTAAGGTCAAGTTGATGAATCCACAGGACCACGAAAGTAGACAAAGTCGCTCGTTTACTCCTTAAATTTTTCCCATGGTCGTTCACTCTCACTTATTGCCCGTTGGAATGGTTTTTGGCAATGAGGGTGGTATGTATGACAGCTTAGACACAATAATAATAATAGTAATAATAATGATGTTTATTCCCAAATACAGAAACAGCACCTAAAATGCTCACTAGCCACCGGTCAGAGGAAACTTTCTCAGACGTTGATCATGCTAGTGGACTAGGTGACTTTGGTGTAGAGAAGCTGAACACAAATTATTACACGCATCCATTTATAGCTATTCGGTGAATGTACGTTAAACATGATTCATTTGGACAGAACTCCAATGACTTCCGGTTATTTCTAACTTGGTATCCAACTACGAGTATTGTTGGTGCTATAATATTCATAGATCAGGCATAAAGCAACTATTATTTCTGCGAAGATTTTCACGTGATCTGACCTGCAGTGTAGAGTAGGTCATGGAGAAATAGAACTAATGAGCGTAGAAGCGAGCGGTAAGATCGGGATGGAGATGGGAGCGTCGGACGAATGCATGCTGGAACTAAATTCATTCGTCCAATATGAGGCCTCAGCCTGGTCTCCTAGGGTCCGTAAAATTTATGCATTATGGTGCATGTAAAGTAATGTTTCAGAGTGAGAATATCACAAACCTGATCACCCTAATTGGCCTGTTTCCCACAAGTTGAGAAATTCACCTATTATTGTTGCGGTTGGTTTTAATAAACTTGGAAAACTCGTTTTATGGAGCAAGCTCATATATCTCAAAACGTTTACATGCTGTAGTACTTTTGCCAGAGGGTCAGCTCCCACCCATGCTCCTCCATTTTTATTGCGTCGCCTGCATTTTGCAAACGCGCGCACACTACTATGTCACCCGCGGATACCGCACTCTTCTTTGCAACTCTGCTTTTATACAGTGTTCATGAGTCTTCTGAAACCGCATGTTAGAATAAATCGGCTCAAGTATGCATCAGATGTTTTAGCGTATTACCTGCCGGTGTACTTGCCCGCAAATCATATGCGCAAAATCATATTGCGCATATGCTATTCTACTATAGTCAGCAGTTTGAAGCGCTGAATGTGCAGTAAAACTATGAAAATCCGCGCTTGGAAGCCCCAACCAATCCATCGAAATAGTCGAATTGTTTGAGTTAGTCTAAACCCATTACTTGCTGTAGTTATCAATTTTGAACGCATTTGCTCACTGTTGTGTTCCAGTAATTAATTGGCTCTGGCTCAGTGATGATTTTCGTTAAGGGAACCACCGTTTAGGAGTATTGTTGAGCAATATTGTTTATGGGGCAACTAACATACCAAAAGAAGGATATCAGCTTTCCGATGTCCTTACAGCGGACGTTAATGCGTTGCTGTAAGGTGAATACCTAGATGTATGGTTTAGCACCTCTCGCATCTTGCGCTTACATGGCCAAAGCCAACCATCCATCAATTGAGCAAACAATTCTTATATAATCATCCGAAACGTACTATTCCGATCGATAACCTTTCACTAAAAGACAGCATAATCCTTATCACAATAGTCACTTAGCACAATAACTTGAGCTTTCTGATTAGCTTCAGTGTTCAAACATTCCTCCATCCCTCAAAAAGGCTATGGTGTCACTTGAATCCTTTCACATAGATCTTTCCGCCCTGTATCAGCCCACTGCAGTGGTCCAAGTTGCACTTGGTTAGATCCGTGATAGAAACTTTAAGCACTGCATGGATCTTTTTGGTTACACACAACGTTAATATGCTCGAACAATTTTGCCTACGGACGCCTGGATGTTGCATCAGTTGAAGATTGACATACACCGAAAGCCCTTACAAGTGGACATAACTTTCATTGAGCATGCCCGGCTAGCCTCTACGGCAATGTTTGCCGGCCTCAAATCCATGGACCACGACACACGTCTCGCGGTGCTTGACATCTTCCGCTGAAGGATCGTTGCCCCTGAGAGGCCACATTTCTTATTTATGCTCCGTTTGAACAAAGGTTGGCCAACAGGTTTTTCACTAAGCAAACAAACAGCGAACATTTGATAAGAAGGTTTGCAAGTGTAGAGCGCACATTGCTTAGGCAAAATAATTTATCATTTTGGGTAGTGTCTGCGTGGAAAGACCTTCCTACGGTGGCTGTCCAAGTTCCTTCTGGAACGCAGTTCAAAGCATTCACGGATTCAAGGATTAATACACAGGATCGAGGCTTTTGCCCAAGATTCCCGGGTCGGTTCTGTCCTTGTCGGTCAGTGGCGGTCGTTCACCTGAAAGGCATAAGTGAAAGAAGGGCGTAGCACTGCTATTTATGTCCACAGCGCTGGGCAGTATGCTTGCCAGCGCGAGGATTCGTATAAATAAGTGTCTAATAGTGCTTTGAACTAGGTTCTAGAAGGAGCGTGGACAACTGTCGGAGGGAGGACATTCCATGCAGCTACGACCTGAAATGACAAAAAATCTGTCTAATGAATGCGTGTGCTCTGAGCTTGAAAGTTTACTTACTATGTCCCCACCGGGTGTTCGCTGGGTCAACGGTAAACAACCTGTTTGCCAAGCTTTGTTCGAACAGGGCGTAAGCAAGAATTAGGTCCCATCGGAGGCGACGGTACTCCAGGGAAAAGAGATCAAGCATCGCGATGCGCGTTTCGTAGTTCACGGATTTGAGGACGGCAACCATTCTCGTGGCGGCTTGCTGGACACGCTCGATGAGGGTGAGGTCTTTCGTGCGTCCTGAGTAGACAACTTGGTTGGCGTACTCCAGGAGCGGTCTGGCGTTAGCCCGATAGAGTATTCGGAAGTCCATGCGAGTAAAACGGGAGGAGGTACGTCGGATCATCCGTAAAACGGCGAATGCCTTTTGGGCCGATTTCTCATGGTGCAGTGAGAAGGACAAGTTTGAGGAGACCCAGATGCCCAAATCCTTTTTGGCGTCTATCCTCATGATGTTTTCTGGTCCCTTTTTACCATGCATAACAAAGGCATTCGCTGAATCCCCTTTAAACGACATATGGAGGCACTTTTCATCATTCAGAGGAAGGTGCCATTCCAACGACCACTGCTTGGCAGCGTCTACCTCCATTTGGAGGGCACTGGCATTGGAACTCCAGGATTTCAAGTCGTCCGCAAAAAGTAGACATGGAGTTTCAAGAACACGGTGAAGGTCGTTGACGTATATTAGTAACAGCAGTGGTCCCAATGCGGAGTCTTGAGGAACTCCAATGGAGACCGGCACTGGAAAAGAGCAGGTCGAGCCTATTCTCACACGGAGTGACCTGTTTGATAGTAACGCCTTAATCCAGCGAAGGATTTTCCCTTGAATCCCGTAAGACTCGAGTTTGTGGAGCAGTGGGTCGTGTGGGGCCCTATCAAATGCTTTTGAGAAGTCGAAAAATATAGCATCCGATATGAGTCTTTCGTCCTTGGCTTGGGGTAAGCTGTCCATAAACACGAGCATGTTTGCCACTCAAGACCGGTTTGGGAGAAATCCGTGTTGAGCTGGAGATATCAGATTGCTAGAATTAAGGTGATCTAGGACAGGTTGCTTCAGAATGCGTTCCATCACCTTGCACAGCACGCTAGTGAGGCTTATAGGCCTACAGCTGCCAGGCGACAGTCGGTCACTAGTTTTGTAGATTGGCGTGACAAACGTTTCCTTCCAAGCAAAGTGAAGGCAGCCTTCGTCAAGCGACTGACGAAACACCATGTGTAAATGGTTTGCCAGTGTGGAGGACGTTTCCTCCAGGATCCTGGGATGGACCTCGTGGGGCCCCAACGCGCAGAATGGGTTAATCTTGTGCAAGAGTTGACCAATGTCCTCCACCGTGAAGACCAAATCGGTTAGAGGCTGCTCGTAGCATCGCCTTGACAAGAGTGGATGTGAAGAGGACGCTAAAGCTGAGCATAGACACGCATAGTGTTCTCTGTAAACCTCAGATACCATTGTTGGGTCATTTGTCGGTTCTCCATTTCTGCCTCTCAAGGAGAACGCGGATGGATTGTTCCTGCGGCGATGTCTCACCTACTTGAACAGTCCATTGTTAGACCATTTATACGAGACTTCGTGCTGGCAGGCATACTTCTTCACGTTGGCAAGTTAGCGGGGGATTTATCATCTCTCCCCAAAGCTTGCCTCGCGAGACTCCAGGGGTGGCTAAATATGCTCTAACAACCACCTTGTACGTTTGTCCATCTCACAGATTGATATACCGCTAACCATTTCAAATCACACTAACTCAAATGATGAATCTGCGTTTCCTCCGCATTACGTTTCAATCAGACGCTCGGAATCTTCGATCTGAACCGGAAAACTCAGGAACACAATCCATGACCTCTTTTCTTCCTACTCCTAGGCAAATGAATAAATGAACTCGAGACGCGGATTTTCGAATTTCAAGGACAAGGACTCGGGACTCCGATTGGTTGATGTATTACCTGCCAATTAAGAAATATTCCCCGGGAATTGGCACGTGATAAGTTCATGACGCTTATTGGTTGGATTCCATGACTCTGGGCAGTGATACGAAGTATCTTCTGGTGCGGATACAGTTAGCCTTGGGGGCCTGTGGCAGACGTTTAAAAATTCGTAGACGAAAGCGACCAACGTTTCTCTACTAAATTATGTTCGGATTTCTCCCCCCCGGCATACCGTAGCCAGTCTTCACAGATAGTCAACTGATCAGCACCCTTTGGTTGAAACTTCTAACGTTTTTTAGCGATGACAAGAATGCTGTAGAACTTTTCATGCAGTCGTTACCAACCTAGATCAGCTCAGTTTCATTGACTACTGCTAAAAGCACAAACTAAACAAGAATCTCCTGTTGTTTCTTCGCGTACAAACTGCACCAGTGCAGAAATATCGCATTTTCGAATGTATAGGTATACATCGTCACTATCTGGCGCTGTAGGTGACACTGATTTTTGTCAAGAACACTGGAATCACATGCATGTACAGACCATGTAAGGCGCCTGGAATTACACTTCCAAAACATGGCGCCTCAGGCAAAGATGGAGTGCAACCTGAACAAACACTTAAAAATGCTGTTGCAGAGCACATAAACACAAGTAAGTTTACACTTTTTAGGATGATCTTACGGAGGCACCCATGAGCTCTTCATAGGTCACAAAAGTGGAAATCAAAAAGTTGTGGTAATATATTCCACTTTATCGGTTTGATTTACACTTTTGCCTGTCCGTGAGAAAAAAATTTACGCAATATATAGCTATCTTGAGTGACACCTTCAAGACGTTATTGTGGCTTAAAATTTAGCATATGCCAACAAAGGAAACGAGTATGCTGACGAAGAAGATGGTGTAGAACCTGGAGCTCAATGAGATTAATTGTTGAATTCTTTAAAGGTGGATTACGGTTCACGGTCTAACGTCAAACTCAGTATGTGGTATAAGGAAATTGCCGCAATCTGTATAAACAACGACTGACTTTAACGACACGGGAAATACTGAAGTTGCTAGCACTGCGTATACTTGGGCCACTGTCCATCCAAAGAAAAATTCCGCTGATCAACTACTTCTGAACGGGCAGGGAAGCCCAGGACGACACAAAAAATATAATATCACACGGTTTAAAATGTTTCGGAATGCCAGGATCGCTTGGTGCAACACCTAGCGAGTTGTGTGGTGGTAAAATCCGCCCTTTGAAAGTGGGTATCAACAACCTAATTGATTTAAGTGAGTCAGGATTCTGAACAGGACTGGTTTAGAATGGACTGGACGACTAAAGGTCGTACTGGAAAGTGTCGGGCGGATCCCACGAAACTGATCTAAAGGAGTTACAATGCTTGATCCGTCCAGACTTCCCAGAACGACCAACAGAATCGACGAGGTGCTATTACGCTCAAGTACTCCAGGTATCGTGAGGAACAAGTGATATAAAAGGATCTTCAGATAATCAGGAGGAAACATATTAAGAAATTCATCAATGTACAGACGGGCAAACAAGTATAGCGCTAGATTCCTCATATGGTAACGTATAAAATTCGTTTAATGAGCGGGATGAATTTCCCGCATCTACTGAAGTCGACTGGAAATATAGCTACAAAACAATATTTGAAAATACAAGATCTTCTCACCTGGAATTAATCGTTTCAGTGCGGCCAAGTCCAATGCCGCACCTGCTGTTAACTGGCAGTCTTCTTCTCAGATACTGGCCTTTGTATTCTCGCTTGATTTGCATTGTCATCAATAATGGTGTTACTCTCAAAGTCGCAACATTTTCTCGCACTTCACAATAAAAGAAACATCATGGATGGCACATAACAGAGAGATTTATAGATGCTGGATGGAATTCCGTGTCGAGCGCAAACTTCCTTTCTAGAAGCAGTTAAAGACTCACTAATTTCCGTGCAGCAGGATCATATCCAAAGTCCTGCGGCAGTCTGAGGAAAGCTAGGCATACTTCCCAAGTATACCTTGACAGTCTGTATTTCACGGATTGCTGTTATGCAACGGATGCAAAACAAGAGATTCAACAGCAACTTCTCGTTACCCACGCGGTAGTGGGGACTGTTCTTGAACTCAAAACATTTGCAACGTATGTAGACTCATTACCAGGTCACCTCGGTTCACGTTGGTCTCTATTAGCACATGGGTGCAGTCTGTGGAGGACAATATATGATATTAAATGCAAGCTTGAACTAGGACAATCCTGAGAGACTGACCAACCAGAAGCGGTAAATTGGACTCACCAGTAACGCTTAAAAATCCAAGTTAATGAAAGTGGGCGGGAAGGCAGTGCAGCCTTTGAGGTGGGACTGTTTCGGTGGTTTGAGCCTCTCACTTAATAATAATTATTATGCACAACTTCAAAACTCACTGACTTACAGCATTTTGGAGAACAAATTACCTGAGGCACTACAGATAATCAGAGATGTACTCCACACAAACAACCCTTAACCCCTCACTAAACAACCCTCGTTAATCAAGACGTCCAACCAACGAGCAATGGCGTAACTACTTTGCTCCTAATTTTAGTGCGCCAAAGGCGAACAACACCAAAAAACCAGGAATTAATCCAAAAGAATCACGCCATGCAATGGTTATATATATTCTTGGTCATTTTTGCCACAGGACCGACTTGTAGTGGTTAACGGCCCTATGGAGTCTCTAGTGAACTGAACAAATGGCTGGTGTAAGCCAGATACAAAGTCACAAAGAGAAAAATACAAGTAAATCTTGACTCACAGTTAGAAATAGGAGATTCCGTAGTTCCGTATTCCGTTGAACCACCACACAAAGAATAGTTCTATCTTCCTGGTATCCCAGATCTCCGGTGATCGAAATATTATTCCAAAAGCGTGAATATATTAGTCCAGCGTTTGTAGCTGAAATGTTTGTTCACGTTTAGTATTGGCAGCGGTCAGATATAGCTAACCGGCGGTCACAACAACAGTCACTCAGCAGAAGTCTCAAAGTCACGTTGGAGCCAACGCGCGGGCGGTAGCGGTTGTATTTCAGTAAAACAAACTTTTGTACAGCGATGTGACTGATAATGATGGAAAAAAAGAAGATGATACTGAGCATGAAAAAGAGCAGTTTACAAGTGCTACAGACTTATTATTCCCATTCAGGTACAATAAACAGGTGCCCATTTGTCTTCAACCACACATGTACTTATCAGATAACTAAGAGGTTCAGTTACATACTGATAGTCCGATGACTGACGGCCTACCACTGACTGACTTACTTACTGACTTTACGAGCGCGGTCACAGTGTGCCATTAGTTTTCGTTGTATATGTTTGGGACTGCAAAAACAAAACAGTTCTATTATCTGCGAGAGCACCGAACACAGCAGCTTATTCACCCAAACTACCACGAAAACTAAGAAGGAACTAATAATAGAACTAACAAGCTGCCTACCAACAGCCACAATAAGAATCGAATTATATTCGTCCCAACGGATGATCTCACTACCATGTCCATGTAATACAGGCTAAATTGCCCGCTCTTTCTCGTCAACAGCAACCATAATTTTTTAATACAGTGTATTCTAATACCTGTTGAGGAATGTTGTGTTGGCCCTCTTTTTCCATGTATCCAGTGAAGTAAGCCTTTTCGTGGTTTTATTGAGTAAACGTAACTGGATAATTTTTTATTAGAAAATTAAATAAATAGGAATCACTTTATCACAGCCACATTGCTGAAGCAATCAAACAAAGCGGTTACTGTACACTTTTGAATGAGACAGAATTGCCTCCTGCTTTAAAATCCACCAATTCCGTAGCAAAACTCCAAGCGGTGGAAATCAATGTTGAGCAAAATTATCACAAATTGATAATAGTGACGTTCAACTCCAGAAGCCTTGCGAATAAGCAGGGTAAATTGCAAGTTTGGGTATGTAACAATCAGCCGCATGTGACTGTCATCATGGCTGAGTGATTAACTAAGGAATCAAAAGACGCGAGGTGCCATCGTTATCAGAGGTCTAATCAACACCGAGCCTAGATAGATGCACGTGCTCAGCAAGAACATAGGCCCTAGTCAAGTGTCAATCAACTGTGTGCATATCGCTTGGTCAACCTAGAGCTAGAATGGATACTAGCCATCGCAAGCGACCTTTTTTGAGTGAACAGTAGAACATCAGCTCTTAAAACGCTTCTGCGGTACTGGAGGTATGTTCACGCGCCTTCTTGTCACCAAGGGACGGCCATGGGAATTGACAGACGGTAGTTTAATGATCGCGAAATTTGGCTGCAAGGAGAAGCAAACCTGATGCTACCTTACCGTCATTCTGAGGGGCCATTTTTCAAGGATCGTGCAAGTGAAATTAATGCTAACCGTTAAAGACACGTAGAATCAAGCTGATTAAAATTTGCTGAATTAAACTGGACTGTGCTTAATAAAAAGGACAAAGAAGGATGTACCAGGTGCTCTTAGAGTTTGTCACTAACATGGTATCTTTTTATGTCAGAAGGCTCTAAAAAATCAGAGAAAAATGCAAGAAATCCTATTTCTGAATTTTTTGGCCTTGAAGAGGCCGGAAAAAATATCTAAACACATGAACTATGGACAAGTCGATAAGAAAACCAAGTCGACTTGATGGAACAGTTTGTACAATATTGGTAAATTATGTATAAATGCATGCTCACATAATCATATATATCTCTACATATGTAGATATCTGTATGGTAACATTTTCCTCCCTACTTTTACGATAGATAAGGATGGGGCTGATAGGTCACAAAGTACCGAAGTTGTGTTTTTTTCCACCTTTGGAGATCAAACAAATGAGCGCTTGTTTCCAGTAAAACGTTGGGAATTTAGAGTAAACTAATAGAAAAAAATGATAGAAAGCAGAGCGTGGCGAGTAAAAAAAGGTAGGCGGGGGATCGCCGTTTAATTTGTGCGAGCCAACAGAGCAGAGAAATAGAAATTTTCGGCCACAACATGAGAATGAAAGGACTTTCTGTAATGCCATGGATAAAATGACGAGTAAGAAGACACGTAACTGATCATTTGAACGATGGGTTAAAACCTAACCCGGTACGTATTGGTAACTGTTTTTGGAAGTTTGAGGAGGATTGTCAGTTTCCAAATAGATGATGGAATGCCTGCTGTAACTTATCGAGCCTGCTCAGATCAGCATCATCTCATAATTAGCTTAGAAAATGAATGATTTCACAAGATGATGGAAATCGTTTCTCAAGGAGCTAGTCAACTGATGACCACATGATTTGCTTTCTTTGGCTTTAGACCAGGTGGAACCATTTCCATTCGAGGTCGATGCTGATTATGCTGCTGATGAGCCGCTGGTAGCTAAACGGTTAATTGTTCAGCCATAAGTCAAAATATCACGGGTTCGAAATGCTCCTAATTTCGTGAGATGCGTGATGCTGATGATTCCAAATAAGAGCAAAACAGCTGCACAGTGTTTGCCATCTCTTTAGCATAGATAGACTTTACTGACAGAATGAAAGCTCTGTTAAAACCTACAGATCTAGCTATTTATTAGATGCTCTGAGTTCTGCACAGCCGCGTGCCAAATGGCGGCAACAAGCGCGTTGCGCAATGGTTTTGGGATGTTTGTGTTCTAACTCAGGAACCTCGCATTGCCGATGTTTTTCAGGTAGGAAATTAAAGCGGCGATACCAATTTGACAAAATGGTGGTTGACTAGACTTTGTCACCGGTTGGTTAGGAAAGTCCGCAAGTGAAAATGTCGTTCGCTAATACCGTGGCATCAACTTTTTAAAGGTCGCCGTAATAATTGTATGCTGTGGGATTTTGTCAGTATCAGTGTCCCAAGTGAGTGTGTATTGGCCTGTATGCACTCGCTGTTTGTGTGACTCGTTGGCCAATACTCTCACGCAGATTTGCATTAAAAGTCCTAGTATTTGCGCCTGTTCTAGATTAGCTTGATGATTGGTTTGTTCGTTGTCGAGGGACCCAGTATTTTCGTCGAGTGTTCTGTTGCTTTTAATTTTGGAAATTAGTGTCAGGCTTGAGAGACTAATTACAGTAATGGGACCATCATCTACATATACTTACCGAGACCAAGAACAACAGTGTAAAAATTTTAAGTTCTATGGTTTTCTTTACTAGAACAATTTTGGACAATGTATTGCTACTGAATAAAGTATCGCATCCTGGTTTTCATCCGTCGACTAGTTCACTACCCCGTATGTCGGCAGAATCTTCCAATGATATTGCCGGTGGCTAGATGTAGTTAGCATGATGTGGTTAGCCGTTTGCAGAAGTTCCTTTAGCCCTTGTTGTGTTCTGTTAGATGTTTCTGGCAAACTCGGTTACAAATCTTTCTAAGTAACAGCTTTCGACTTTTATCGCAGTGCCAAGTGACCAATAGCCACACGATGAATATGGATCGGTTTGATTTTTTGTTTTAACATGTGCGTTGAATTATTTCAAAGGACTTGGCCGTTTTTGAGCATCCACCTTTCATTCCAACCAGGGCAATATATGTAGCGGATGGCCTTGTGGTACTAACCACACTATTTTATAACCAGCAGCCTTATATTTAAGTGTCGGATTTTTAGTACACGTTAGGTCCTCCAGGGGCATTGTAGGGCAGATTGGGTTAACAACTGCTTGCACGTTGATAAATTTTAAAATAAAATGTAACGCATAGGCTTAAGCAAGAAGCCTCTTTGCTGCTGGAACTAATAGGAATAGGCAGTGTTTCATGTTCACAATCTCTCATGTCTGTTATCTTACGCACGGTCATAAAGCTGGTAAGGAATAAAAGATATTTGTATTTGTGATTCCATTTTCACCAAGTTTGTCAACGCCACGTTATTATCATGGTTTGAAGTAGGCCTCAAATATACCTCTCAACTTAGCTTAGATGAATGGAGATGGATCTAGCTCGACGATGCTCGGATGAAGCTTAAACACCCTAATTTTACCTTCTCCCAATAACAACTAATCCTAAGCACATAAACTCAGTAAACTATATCAGACGTCTCAGGCGTGTCAATCTTTATCAGACTTGCGGTTCACAAATCAGTACTGCAAAAACGAATGACGAAATGAAAACTTATGCTTGACAGGATAGCTGAATCCATGAATCTCACAGTGACAAGACTGCGGGCATGATTGATTTCACTGATGCTGAAAGACGCAGAAAAAAATCTTGCAAGTTTGCTTCCTAGAGAGATTAAAAATTTCTTTCAGTAGAGGGCAAATAGTCATGCTAAGCCTCTTACATCTGCACAGACAGAAAAGTTCCCCAAAATATCGATGTCGCAATTCAGTCAGCCTCCTGGTGCATCCAAGGTGCAAAGATATTACTGTCATTTACTGTGCGCGCGGGCATATCACTGAAGAATAGTGCTTCACTGCTCCATTTCAGTCATCCGCATAACTGTGGCCTGATCAGCTTCTTGACTCTTCTGAGCAGCGTTTTTTATCATGGCTTTCGGGCCAGATGTGCTGAAACTTCAAGCTTGATCGATACCACGTGGTTTTGATAAAGATATTCTGTCTTAAAGGCAACTTATGTATTAATTTTTCTAGCTTCCTCCCAAATATGCATGAATCGATCTAAGGTATAGCGGAAAGAAATGACATAAGTCTCACCTTTCTTTACACTGAGGTTTTCCTTATTTATCTCAACAAAAATGTTTGGCGACAAGCTTTTATTTTATCAGTGACCTCTTATCAAGTGACCTTGATTCAGAGGAGGGATGGCTTAGACAAAGATAACCGTCTTTCCGTGACAATATCCTTCATTCATGCCTTATTTTCTAGTTAGCGATACGCTTATGCACAAGATCCATCATCCATTGGTCTTTCGACACCGTGCTCAATGCTAAACACTGACAGAAGTCATTGTTCTTATAATCGCTGCAGTGCTTATTCATTTAGTTCGGCGCTTTTAGTCATCATTTAGATACCTTTCAAAAGGTAGGGGAATGTTTTACAATTCAACGCATAGTCTGGTTTAAATCCTGCTCAAATGAATTTGTTGGATGCTTAAAAGTTGCTAAATTCGTTCAAGGTATCTGCTCATTGAAAATCAAGTTTTGCACTGTGGTTTATCATAAAGTATCATCAAACTTGTAGGGAGGATCCGTTAGCTTTGCAATATGTATGGTTGAAAGTGCCTGTATGGGGAAAACATTTTTAAGAAGACAAGGTGCTCATGCAGTTATTGCCGGTGTTCTACAAATGTTCACAGCTTTAGCGAATCAGTCCAATTTGCAGCCAGAAAATAATTTTCTTGACCTAATTCTCGGATGAAGCAATTGAAGATATGGCTAACTGGCGGAACACTGAGGTTTAGGTGATGAACATCGATTGCAAGTGGTGTTTTGTCACCAACGTCATCATCATTGAGAGTATGACATCACTGTTCAACACCAATGCTCCGCCGCCGTACAGCCACGATTTATTTGAAAGACTTGTTATTAAAACATGAATAAAGTTGGATGGGGAAAGGACTAAGTGCTAACTTACTACAATCATTCCGAGGTGCCTACATCTCCGGTCACTCATTCAAGCCATCCGGATACAAACTGACAACAAGCACACCGCTGACATCAGTTGGTAGCCATAATTTGCAGTGTCTCCAGGCACAGTGGGGATCACGTGATCCTCATCCTCGTAGGCCAGTAGCACCGACAGCAGCCAAACATTTTGTAATATCTTTCATACCCTTGCGTCAGGTCAAGGGTTGGCCACCTTTCTGTTTCCACCACTCTGAGTTGGGAATGAAAATCATCACTCTCTTCTGCAGACGATGGCCTGGCATACACAGCGTATGTCCCCAAACATTTTGTAATATCTTTCATACCCTTGCGTCAGGTCAAGGGTTGGCCACCTTTCTGTTTCCACCACTCTGGGTTGGGAATGAAAATTATCACTCTCTTCCGCAGACGATGGCATGGCATACACAGCGCGTGCCCCGGGCAACCCAGCTTCTGGTGCTAGACACATTCTTCAACGGAAGTACCTGTTGCACACCCGAAAACCCGCTCTCTAACTGATCTGCCGGCTAACTTAAATCATACCTCTTTTTTCGGTGTTTTATTTGTTTTAATTTGTTCCATCACCGCTCCACAACGTGGTAGGTAAATCCACCGGTTATGGCAATATTTTCCCATCAGTTATAAATAAACACTAGATGATTAATGACAGCATGTCGCAGACTGGCAACTAGACACTGGGGCTTGCATACTTTGCATGTTGCTGATGACGCAAAATCCTGAAACTCCCGTGGTCCTTCTCGCAAACAACCAAAACTCATCCATAACAATCAACCAACATTCAAAATATTGTGAGCTCAGCAAGCTTGCAATTTTCCTTTCAAATAATAACTCCACAGAAAATCTAAAATCTACTTTCCATAACTACGAAGTTTTTATTTGTCTGACTAACCACGATATTGTTGCACTTTACTTTACTTCCGTAGGAATCGGTCCACACAAATATTCCTTACGGATTGCGTTATGGAAAACTTTGAGCACGTTTTCATTTTGAACAGTCGAAGTCAGCAGAGACAAGTGTTGAAAATCGTGTTATATAATGAGTAGGGTTCAAATGGTTGCATGATGAAAGCACCAAATGTCTCTAGTTCAGAATCCCGTTCATTAAATATTTACTAAAAACTAACAGGTGGTGAGGTTTTTCAAAGTATTATCGCTATTTAGAGCCAGTTTCACTTCACCTATATGAGTGGGGCCGATGAAGATGATCAAGCTGTTCACCCAGAAAGATTGGAAAGCTGGTTATTTCGCGCTATACCACGGAGAGTAGGTGGCACACGCTGGAGAAAGGAACTAATTGGCTGGCAACGTTGTGCAGAAAAATCCATTATCTACAGTCTAACCAGAGATGACCTTGCTGAACAGGTAAATTCAACAATTGTTTCACAAAACGTTGAATGCTAGTTTTTGGATGCTGAAGTGGTGCTCAGAAACACTTTTCCTTCCAAAGTTGATCAAGTCGACCAGCGTATGATATTTTTACTGAGGATAAAAGGTGATAAAAAGTAAGCATTTTATAATATTTTCAGTAACCCGCTACTCAGGCAATCTACCTATTTATTTAGGGCCACAAATTTGTTCGATCTTACATGCTGGCTAAAACTTGGTAACTGTCATTCTAAGGAAGGCCAACTGGACAAACTATTGTGGTACAGCATGGTAAGTTTTTGTTCTTTTTTCATAAGAGTTGAAATTATCTTCTATTAGGTTAGTCGTATTGGTGAATGAATACCGTTAAAGGGGAGGAAACTACTTTGCAGACGTAAGCTGATGGACACGGCGTGTGTTTGCGTGATACTTACCCCGTTAAAGAAAACTAAATACATTTCACACAGCAACAAGTTCTGTACGTTTGTTAGATCCATCCACAAAATAAGAAGGAAGAGGTATTTGTGTTTTGAAGTGTTAAACGCTTGCTTTCCAAATTTTCTATTGCATCACGACATGGTGGCCTGCCATAGCTATCTTTCTGGTGAAATACAAAATAAACCTTGTGCCCTGTCTCACTAAAAGCCGTAAGTTTGTCCTTAGCTGTTAAAAGCTGTTCAGTTTGTTGTTTATGCATGCACGTCTTTTTTCTCTAGAAAAAGTATGAAAAAGTTGTAGGAATAGTCAGTAGGAAATACGGTCAACCTCTTCCATACATCGATTCGATGCTAGGCTAATTATCTGATGCGTTAATAATCAGGGGTCTGAGGGGATTATTTGGAGCTAAAACTCAGAGCGAGTAGCGAGCAAGGCTCTGAATATGCGGTAAGTGCAAACGAAATTGGTCGGTAGTATTTTGCTACCAAATAGAGGACCATCACCCACCGAACAACCAATAGCCCAAACTTCTTCCATTGAGAAAATTCGAAGAAACCCAGGTCATGTCCTCTGTCATTTGACGTAGCTTGAATCATGTCGCATGGAGGGCCACTGAAAGATATTCGAGACCAAATCACTGGATGGATTCTTGATAAGACTTCAGATAGTCAACCCGCTGGCACTCAATGCTGGTTTGAAGCATGGAGCGCGTTGCAAAAGTGTTTTTGAGTGTATTCAACACAATGCTCAAGATGGCCCAGTGTTTAAGACCGGTGACCGGAAGGTATGCGGTTCGAACCACACGCTTGCATCTCGATTGCTCCTGTCCAGCTTTCATTAAATTCGAAATATTTTAGCCCTCGTGCTTTCCTAGAGATACGCTGCAGCGCGGCTTCGAAAAAGGGTTACAGCGAATAAGTATATGCTGTTATTTGTGTGACGCTTTTCTGCACTTGCCTACCGTTTTTCCCTGTATCTGGACGTCATAACAGACGAAGTGTCCACGGCGACAGGGGCTTTATTAGTGTAGTCACATTTTACATCGATGGAGCGACTTACGTAGATTTTAGATCGCAATCCCATGAAAAGGTAGCGAGAAGCTTCAAGTCTATACATCCTGGGAAGCATCAAAGCTTTCAGTTGGGGAGACATGTTGCGCAATATCATTATCATCCGTTGAAACCTTCACAAACTGCCTGTGCTGGCAGCCGCCACTTACGGATAATTTGATTTGATATTATATTCTGAGCAACATGACATTAGTTTAATCCTCACTGGGAGGTATCTCATTTGTTTAAAAGTAGATGAGAGAAATGTAAATTCTACAAGCATGTAAACCTTAGAATGCCATTACTCATGCCAAAGAGTAATCCGAATGATTCCGTGCCAACTCAAATTTTCAGAAACATGTCACTTCCATTTAGTTGAAACAGTAATTGAGAATGGCAGAGCTAATAATCCTCAGCGGGAATTCGCTTGGGCTAATTCAACTGTAGAAACTGGCAAAATAGCAAAATGCTTTGAGTAATGAAAAAACATTTTAGAGGACAGAATTTCCTTCCTCAATCGATCAGTATGTCACTAAACTTTGTAACATTGTGGTGTTGTAGGTGTGTTGGATAGGCTGTAAAATCTCGCCATATATTTCATTTGTTCTTTTAAATGAGGCCACAGTGCAGCCTAACAAGGACTACTGCTGCCCACATTAAGGCCACCGCAAACCCCGGCTTTGACCTACTCAAGTAATGAGCAGTCAAACAGTTGGTAATTCGTGTACTCATAAACAAATTTTGGTCTAATTCCCTGTCAAAACCTCCTTTTTGAAGGTGCAAATCTAATCTATAGATGCTCCAAATCGCTCATTTCAGTGAGCGAAAATCAGAAACAGTTTAGATTAAATTGATTGATTCCGTAGACAGCTTTTTGACTCAGACGTTAGACATCAGGACTGACTTTTAAAAATCGGGTTCTTATTTGTCTTCCAGTGGATCACCACGATTCTCGACTGTAAATTGTGGATAACAGCAGTAGAAAAATTTTGGTGTCTGAGAGAACACACCACTCATAAGGCTGTCGAAATTTATTTCGGTGTAGTTCTCCAAGTTTGAAATCTGGTTTCCGGCCCGTTTACTGGAGAAGAGCCCCAAAACATAGTCTAGTGCAAGTGATTGAGTTGATTTTTTAACAGTATAGCGTCCAAGTGTAAGATCTTTATTCAGGCTGATAGGCGAGCCACTATGTTTACCTTTGGAGTTTCAGTCGCTAGAAAGCCCTAATTACCATGCCATTTCGTAATTGGTTCGTGGTTTCGTTCGGTGTGCAAATTTAAGTTTACTGTCAAAGATAAACTGGTGATGCTCAGCTATCATCACCATTATAACCTTATATCCCAGATGAAGATCTTTACAACGGTAAACAAACCTGTCCTGTGCATTACAGAATTCAAAAATAAAACAGTCATTGAATAAAAGTGAGATTCAGTCATGTTTCGGCTGAGTATAGCTTGATCTCTAGCCCCGGGCCTTTATAAGTCGTTTCACAGTTTCAACCTGATTTAGTTTTTTTTTGTGCCTCTAAGCCGTAGCTTTGAGTTAAACAAGGTCGATCGTACGTCAAACCCGGGGCAATGACTATGGTCATGATCATTTTCGGTTGGGCTAATCAATTTCAACTTGAAGTTTGCGTGGATATTTGTTGGTTCCACGTACAGTTCCAATGGCACAAAATCCAAGGTTTTATGTCATAGTTTCCGTTAAGTCTTATGTACTTTTTTGGTCCTTTGTTGGCAGTAGCTCGGCTTCTAAGGAAAACAGTACAACCAACCTTTATTGACCACAAGGTACTTTGATCACTCACCAGTAACTCTGAAAGAGCAGCTAACAACTTGGTTACTGATTTTAGCTACCAATAAGATTGCTGCGATCCCATTCGGAAACAGCAGCTTATGTCCCAATTACACTAGAATCGCTGTAGAGTGATGAAAAATTGGCTTTTACGTCAGTCTATCTGGCGATCTGTAGCTTTTATATAGCCTCAATGGATATTCTGTGGATTATAAATCTGCCTCACAGATAAGTCAACCAGTGTGACCAATAAACGTCACTATAAACATGGAGAACGCTGTGATACCGTTTGACTGGTCTGTCTTCCCGAGGTCAGTGTGACGTGAAATACATTTGTATTCCCATACGCCATCGGAGAAGTGTGGTGGGATTGAACTGGTTGATTTAGAGCAGCTTCGTTTTCTGTTCATTCTTTGGGTTATTCCCAAACGACTACCGACTGCTATCAACGTTAAAATACACCGGAGTGTGCTCAGCAAGATGTGGTGGACTTTGCAGAACGGTTGTCACACGTCACGCATCTCATTCGTGTAAAACAAAGCACTAATGCAAATGTAAGGAAAAAATAAACGAAATTATCTATGTAAAAGCACTGAACCATTCCAGACTGTCCACTTAACTTGCGTTTGTGGTCCTCAAATATGACGTATATTAACCGATAGCGAAATATCACAGAATAAAAGCAAATGGTTCCGGTTTAAAGAAGGTTATATGCAGTAAACTTGCTCGTCCTCTCAGAAAAGCACAAGGCAAGTGTTTGAATGACCTTAAACTATTGAAAATGCTAAGGACCGTATTTCATTTTTGTATCTATTACCACGATGAAGCAGTCCGCTTAAAAACAAATTCTGCAACACTCCAAAGGTGTTTTTTCAAAGGCCAGTACTGTACTAAAATTTAACGACTGAAAAACGATGTACGACACATTAAGACTGACCGAAAAGTTAACTTTTTGTGCCCATATACCAAGCCAAATAAGGATTGAGAAACGCGTGATATTCTGAAGGAGTTGGGTACGAAAGAGCATACTTCGGTCAAGTGTACAGCCTTAGCATGCTTGCCACTATCGAACTCAAAGTTGATCAGTGCGAGTTTACTGTATCTACTGCCGTATTCACACCATATCTCCCTAATAACGCCTCATATGCTAGAGTACATTACACCGTAGCCTCAGAATTCTCCAACTTATCCCTCTTGAGGAAACACCATGATGACGATGCGCCCCGCTATTTGTCTAGTTACCCAATTTGACCACCAAGGAAACAAACATTTCCTACATCGTCTGATCACGCCACCACCTTTCATAGATTTGATTCGCTTCACTCTATCAGTAATTTACAAAAGAGGAATTCCAACACATGCAACGTACATGCAACACGCATTCACTGAGAGAAACCTGCTTCCAATTTTCAGTTACATCACAGTTATGTCGTAATGTTTGTGTGCAGCTTCAGCACAACTGAGCTCGGACCTCCTCGGCCAAGAGGGCGGACGCCAACAAAAATCATGCTAACGAATCCTGCCGATGCACCAGTTCCACTTTCTGAGGTTGCCGAATGCATAAAATTGCATTGCAGTTTGGCTGCTTGTTTTAATCACACTCTGTCCTGCATGGCATAAAGCATCCAAAGTTTTCGTTAACCACGCGCAGAACATGTAGGCTGTCCTTTTTATTTTTCACCTCCTTCGAAAGGATACATCACTTGTCAAGGAAAAATTTAGTATCTGCTGCAGGTATTTCCTTACAGAGGGTGTACTTTACGTGCATACAAGAAGAAAGTCAGTGTGGACAAGGCGGCAGTATTGTGTTGCGGAACCTTTGGAGCCAGACCTGATGGTATCAGTGTGTCTATTCTGCCGTCTCAGATTACTATTACACTACCAATGCGTCATACTCAAACCCCTTATCCTATGGGCATCTTGTCTCCCATCAACTTCATTTTCAAATGTTAAAAATGAGGAACGTGAGGATATCTGAACTGTTTTTGGACGATTCAGTCTTTTGGCCGTCTTTGAGTTATATCACATTTCTGCAGTTAAGTGCTCTATCTCTCAAATAACCGCCGTGTCTACGACTCATGTGGACTTTCAACACGAAAGCCCCAATTAGGTTCAGAGAAACGTCACAAAGCGGATCCCCATTCTCGGACCACTGCCTGCTCATGTGGTATATCTGAAAACCTTATGCCATAGTGAAATCAAACGCAGTGCGAACAACTTTTCATCAGTCATGCGGGTGGACGCTTAATTTTGATCCTGATTCTCGCAAACACCGAATGCTGATTGAACTCCGAAAAAATCGAGTTCTCATTTGGTGCTGAAGTGCAGCTACCAGCAAGTACAGCCCTGAAAAAAGAAGTACTCTTATCCCCATTGGCATTTCATGAATGTACAGTCGAATTTAGGAAAGCTTGTTTTGAACATTTTTTTTATGTATCCTTTTGATGTCACTTTCAATTCCTCCCCAAAGCCGTCGTCCACCCATGCAGAGTTCAACGAAGCGGATGAAGCTCTAAGACGTTTTTACGAAGAGCATACTCGCCCAAGCTCTATACGGTTTCCCCTCTGTATTGAAAAACCGGTTACTGTCGACGACGAGAATGTTTGTTCTGGCAAACATCGGAGTATACCCGAGCTTTTACCCTCAATGTGTTCGAAAGCTTCCGTTTCTTCCGAGCCAGTTGCCACTCGGATTGATTGCGACACACAGACACACCGTAATAGCATGCCAAAAACTCAGGTAAACGATTCTACTCCTCTCTTCAACTCAATATTTTGCAATACACTTACAAATGGCACACTTGCTGTGTGCCGCTTAAGTTTTTATTTCACTGCTAGAAAATTTCCTTTGGATAAATGTTTCAGTTGGTGCAAATTACGACGAATGGGATAACTGGAAATCTGTTGCTTTACTCATTGACGTAATCAGTTGGTGCGGACCTTAAATGACTGTCGTTTAGCCAACTTTGATGGAAACTGGTTCCGTTAAATCTCCAGGTATTACTGGCGGAGTATACACTTTTGTGATTCGTTTAGTACAGCTTGGTCATCAAGTTTGCATGCTAGCCTAACGGTCCTCACACAGTGCAATACACGACCAATCGGCCAGTTCCCATCAATATTAGAAGATTTAGCCTGTTTTCTCGGCTTTGCGGCCCTCTCTCTTGTTCCATTGTTGGGGCCGTTTGTGCAGCTCAGCAGGGCAATGAGAATTTGGAATCGACATCCCGTTACTCGTCAGTAGTATGGAAATAAAAATATTGATATGGTGCCATGCTTTTGAAAAAAATATGCAAGCAGTTTTTTGTTCGCTGGCCTGACGATAGACTTTTGTGTTGATCGGCACCGATATTATAAATTAGCTGAAAAAAGTGTTGTTTGATCGAAGGGCAGACACTTTAATTATTCTAAGCAGTCCCGTAGACAACTTGCAAGCAATCCGCTTGGCACATCGGGATACCTACTAATATAAATAATGGTCTGAAAAACGAAAGTCTTCTCCCATGCACTCTACTTGACAAGTTACTTTTTCACTGATGTTTCACCACTGTGTGTTGCCTAGCTGATTACGTCGTGACAGCCTACATTTGTAACCTCCAACTGGGACCGAATAAGCCATCTGACTAATGCCGTAGCTGTACTGTGTTGTCTACGTTGATTGAGGCTCACGGTTGGACTAGTCTTGTGTTCCTCCCTATGAAATATGACCAATGAATATAGCGGATACAACTAGGTAATGATGTAAATCTCTTCTGGAAGATGGATGTGACTGAGTCATACCGCGGTCACATACCACACGAGTGTTTTTTACGAGCGTTGCTTGCCTAGCTTGTTCAGCTCGGCAGGCTACTGATATCCCGAAGATTGAGCAGGGAAACTACGCGACTTCTGAAGCCCTTAAAATGAAAGTAAACACAGGGATAAAACGAGTCAACCAAGTTTGGAAGATGCCTTTGCAGTGTAACTTAATATAAAGTTTGGAGTGCAATTATTCCTGGTTTGAAAAAGGGACATTTCCGTGGTGCGCGTAGCTCTTCTTAAAGGATCACACTCTGCATTCTTTGGTTCCAGCTATCCCTCTGTAGCACACAGATTCATTTATTTGGACACTGCAAGTGTTACATTTATAGTGTTGCACAAATTGACTAATTAGTGGTGACTGAGTGCCGCCTAGCAGAAATCAGTAAAAGAGTTGATTCTATGCTCACTCCATTCGTGACTTGGGAAACTCTCGACTTCTGCCATTGTCTAGGAGGACTCTGTATTTTCAGCCCATGTTTCCCGCTGAAAGTCTTGGGATTAACTTGTCGCATGGGGAGATCGGGTGTTCATCGGTGTACAACAAAAGTCGAAATTACAATGAGAAAAGCAGTAGGAGGCTCGCGTGTGTAAGATGTCCGCAAGATATCACAAGTGAAACTTCTTCTCCTCGTTCTTGTTACCTTTGCGCGCTTAATCCAGCTATTATTTTGGACCGACTAGTCACCATTTTAGTTCATTCGGTCTTTATTTATATCGGTCAAACTACATGCCAAGTAAAATAAGAGACCCAAAGGTGCTGTGTTATGCTAATCCTTGGAACGCGGTAACGCCTGTACAGGTGTACAATCTAATCGCACAAATTTTTGACATGCGGCTACGTCGATCAGGTGCTCAATAAAGATATCCAAACTAGTCCACGCACTTAAAAAAATTCGAAACCTTTTAAAGTGCAGGTCTGCTGCTTACGGTGTGCGTGAACTTCAGAAGTGTAGGCGTAGCACAACGAACTATGTTTGATTTTAAAGATTGGACATTGATCAGTATAAGTACAAGTTCTTTCAAGCTTGCTTGATTACCCTGTGGAGCCTGCTCAATTGAACAGCTTGATCAAAATTTATAACGGACGACAATGCACAGAGGTGCTTAAAAACCTATGTTGAACACCCACCCTGCCCATCGCTCAAGAACTGACCTTCGATCCACTAACTAAACACATCTTGAAAAATTAAGAGTGCTAATCTTTTTCGGTTCTTACGTGGTAAATTATTGACGATCGAAACTCAGATTAAACGAGAAAGGAGATGTTCGTTGATAGTTGAAATTTCACAAAGTATGACCACAAAATTTAACTTTCGTCGAAATTATATTCTGGCAAACTATTGTCTTTCTGTGATCTGTACACTTTACGCCAGATTATCCGATATGCGGATCTAGTGGAACAGTGCACAAAGATGTCAGCTGGTAGATCGTCAGTGATAACCACGAACTCACTCAACCTAGCTGGCCGACATTCAAGAGCTCAGGACACACTACACAAGACTCCGGTGACAGAGCATGATATTTTCATGCTTGAGAGCACGTCTTCTCCGGACAAATACCTTCTACCATGTGACCTACCTATTCATGTCAACGTCGGAGATAACACTGGTATCCAGGTGAGGTAGCCATTCGTTTTAGGGTTAATAAGGTCAATAAAGATAATTACAAAGTGCCTTATGTGGTTCATGGGTAATGCCCTGAGACGATAAAATCGATAAACCGTACGGATACACGCAGCTGGTGTTCATATTCTTCAGTAAGCACAAACCAAGCGAACTAATTTGCTTTGAGCCTGTAGTTCATGCCACCAGCCAGAGGATGTTATTTCTGCGCATGTAAGACACTGATACAAACAATAACCTAGTGAGGTATGGGCCGAATTTGTCCCATTTCCCAGGACAGTTTATTTATCTTTCCCGAAGCTGGTACACAAATCGGGACTGCGGTAAAACACACGAGACTGCATTAGCACTCTTGATTGCTCCTCGATCGGCGACGAAACATCTGCACAAAATTGTCAAACTGAGCGAACACTTCAGCTACCTACCAGAAGGGCCGCATGCACTGGCTGGTGACCAGCTTTCGCGACGCTTTGTTTAATCTTTTCTATCAAAATAGTTGTGCTTCTGAGGAGGTGGGAGTCCTTGAATATTTATCAAAAATTCTCCTTCCTTCTAAGTTTACAAGTAAATTTTGATTAGGACATTCTCGGCTCCGAAAAAAATTGTTATTTCCAAGCTCAGACTACCTTGACAAAGCCGAGAAAATTGCCTAACAGTCGGATGAATAGCATACCGATTACTAGTTGACGTGGAATGAACCAATAGCTGTGGTACGCAGATTACTGTTTGACTGCCCGGCGTCGATAATCACTTGAAATCAATGAATATTCTGACAATTTTTTCTTTCCCTTTTCACGCAATGTAACATTCGAATGTGCGAGTCTGAGGATGATTTTGTCGAAAGTGCACCTTTACTCTCTCTTTAGATCATGTTACTTGTTCACAAAGTTATTTGAACGCATCTACGTTTTGCAGCACCCCCTTCAGTTAAATTCTGTCCCGAATTGCCTGTAAACAATAGGAGCTTCTCATATGGAACGTGGGAAACAAGTTCGCTCTCAGTTATGGAACAACAATGTGAACGACGTCACTAGGGTATAAGCGCGATGGTTTGTGTCACAAATGCCAAACTGAAGTGATCAAGGCCAGATGGTCGACGATCATCAATGATGAGAACAGTAAACTCCCACATATCGTTCGTTTGTTTTAAAACGGTAGAACTAACAACAGAAGCCTTTGACGATGTAACCAGCGAGTAACAGTGAGACGGGGGTCAAACAGGAGATCGCATGGCGTATCGGTGTTGCTGAATTCTAATACAATTTTAGTGAATGAACTACCTCTTAGTTTTTTAAACACTAAAGTAGTGCTGTTTAACACCGTTGGATTTCCTCATGACAGTAATGATTATAAGATTTTTTTAAGCGACTGAATGGTGAATTACTATGGCTTCAATGATATGCTTTCCTCCTTCCAGTATGTGATTGATGCTTCGGGAGAGTCAGGATTACCCGGAGCTCCCGGACGACATGGAGAACCAGGAGTTAGAGGAGTAGACGGTCAACGTAGGTTTCATCATTCCTTATTACTATTCACCTCTTGGTGGTCACACCAAGTAGCCACTTTTCCTCACCCTTCGGGTCTGGATGCACTGTCTTGTTTTGCTATTTCATTTTTTCTCACTCTGACTGAAAGTTGGCATCTCGCAACTCATTTCTTTTGGCTGTCCCGATAAAATGGATCAAGGGGATGTCATATTTTAAATTTTTACTATGTTATGCTCCAAAATCCCACAATATCATGGTGCATAATGCTAGAGTGCAAACCACCATCAGAGCCTGACAAAACTAGGTAGAATGGGCATCGAATTACGCTTATAATTCATCCGGAGTGCAAAGAATTTTTGGAGATCTCTTTAGGCTGTGCAAAGGTTAATTCACCATGCATCCTTAAGTATCCTCTTTCGTCAATCCACAGTGTTACAGACCTCACTTCAGCCTCACACATACCCGTATCTGTGCTCACGACAGTTGAGCGACCAAAGATCTGGCGCTGGAACATTTGTTCTGCTCAATTAAACGATGAGTTTATGTATGCCACAATTGTTTCTAATTAGAAGCTGAATTCACTTCGTTTGGCTTTTATTGCCGCTCATCCATTGAATTCATGCTAAAGTACGATTTTTGGGTTTGATAAGACGATTACCTCTAGAGAAATCATTGTATATTGTGAGGTCTCCGTGATCCCTTCAGTTTCAATTATTCTATGAATGCACTAGTTGAGAGGTACATTTGATACAGTTTCATTGATGCTGTTGATTTTATCGCGGGTACTGTTATTGTTGTCTTGTTTTTGTGAATGATGCAGGATGGATCTTTAGTAAGTCCAGTATTCATTCTGAACGCGATGAAAATTCAGGTGCGCATATACTACCGTAAACGCCCTACGTTATCTCAGTTGGATTTCGCGCCCAAAATTTGGGGAGGGAGAATCACTAATAATAACATTCACGTTTAAGATCGATTCAGAATCTTACTAGAAGTATGAATAAATGAGGAATTTACCGATTTTAGCCTGTTAGACGGCTTTTATCAGTACGGGTCAACCTTCTTTTCATCTGCTCATCCTAGCCCAATACTTGCCCAAGTCAGCATTTTCTGGTTTGCATAATGACGAAGCGAATTTATAAAACGATCAGGTCAAATTAAGCCAAATAATCTTTATCCACCAGAAGCCGACGCAATAAGACGCCATTTGAAATCAAAATAGTGTATACGTTTAGAATGAAGTGTAAGGACAGCGTCAGAAGCGAGCCCTTCAAAAACTAATTTTAGATGAAATCCTATGGCTGGTTTCCTGCATGTGCTCTTGAACTTTGGATTAATATCACAAGGAAACTGTTAGCAAGTGCTGAGTAAAAAAAGCCTATCACAATTAGGGGTAAAACGTAGACTGAACCCGATTTCTCCCTTTCTATCTTTAGTTTTCTGGAAGTTGAAGATCCCTGAGTTGGCTAGAAATCCCCCAAACATTCGGTGTACTTTCAAACATGTTTCGTGGGCGAGTTTTCATTTTAATTTATATAGATGATGCTGCAACTTCGAGCAGTGAATAGTCTGAACCATATGATTGCTAGCGTATTTTGCATACAATGACGCAGTAGAACGTCTTTCATTTTTACCACGTCAGCTCTTGAGACACAAGTGGTGAGAAAAACGGTCATGAAAGCCAACGTCAGTGGAGCTGCAGTAAAAAACAAAAAGCATGAGCGTGCTCTTTGGTCAGCGGCCGAGATTTCGCCGTTTAAACGCGTTGTTTACATTTCCGAGAACGCTCATTCGCAATCTGCCATGTCCTAATTGTGGCTGGCTGAGAAAATTTTATGACATCGAACTGGGAATACGAACGACGACCACGTGATCAATCTTGCCAAAATCAATTTTTTCAATAACGGATTCCTTATACCATTGTATGCGTGCTTAGGAAATTTCGTGAATGGAATAACTGTAAGACCTATATATATCTGTAAGTGTTGACTACACACTACCGTTAGGTTAGGACCAACTTTATGAGTAGCGAAAGTACTCTTTCATAGTTCGGGAATGTAGGCGTAACACCAGTTTTGAGCTTACTCAGTTTCTGGTCTGCCGCTCCACACAATAAATCTCTTCAAAAACAGATTCAACGGATTATCCAGAGTCGAGAGACGGTTTACCCGGTGGCCATGGGACACGAGGTACGGACGGTTTTCCTGGAAGTCGCGGTGGTAATGGCGCAACCCTTTATGTGAGTCTTATTTATACAGTAGAGTAGTTTCTGTCGATTTTAGTTTTCAAAACTTGTGATTTGAGTTATTTTTCGATTGTACTAATGCAGAGTTCGAAGTCAGCCTATCCTAATGGGATTGGAAGCGTCTTCGATATCATTTCATCCAGTCTATCGATGAATGCTGCTCGGATGCAGGTAATGTGTGCATTACTCGCCAATTAAAACAATAGCTCTACAGGGTCAAGGATGTAGTTTTCTCTACTGTCATCAGTTTTGTTCCGGATATGAGTAAAATTAATTTATTCTAGGGGACGCTAATCCCGGATATCGTCCATCTATAGAGGAATAATTTGCAGTTACACTGGATGCAATGTGTGCCATAATTTTTCCGTCGACAGGCTCTCTCGATAAATCCGGGGATTTTGTAACTTCTGCATGGCAGTGCAGAATTACCGGGGACCTTACTTTCACCGTTTTCGTTCATGTTAGAAACACATAAACGCTAAGAACACCACTTGACTTACTAAGATGCGCTTGAAGCATAGGGACAGGTGAGCAAAATGATGTATTAAAAACATCAATTTCATGGTAGGAAATGTGATCTGGATGCTTCAGACTGTCCGTGTTGCTAACGCAGAGTGAAAAGAATTCACGGTAACACAAGCCAAAAGGAACAGTCATTCGCGGATTCGAAACCATTTTAGTGGCGAGTGCCATTTTTGGCGTGACTACACAGTTCCACCATTTCGATTTCTTTATTAGGTCTTATATACTAACAGGTTAAATTTCTAGCATCCTGATGAAAGAAATTTCAAATAAATGTGTATCAATGTGATGTGGAGGGGAGATATGCTACAAAGCGTATTACAAAACCTGTCACACGCATCAAAGTGCTTGTAAACGATCAAACCTGCCACTTTAATGGATCTGTCGGAGGGAACGCGGTCTGTTTACCTCGGTCGAATAGAAATAAACCACCAGCAACACTTTTAAGGTGAGATTCCCGGGACTAAGAACTGTCGTTGTTTTGGAAAGTAGAAAGGCTGGTCTTTGAATGTTGATTAACACCACTGCATTTGTTTGAGCTAAGTTGCCGAATTCAGATAATTATTTAGAAGCTAATTGACAACAGAGAAATGCTGGTGCAGATAGTCATGTAGAGCTCCTTTCGTGAAGCTAGAGGTTATACTGGTTCACTTATGTTCATTTACCTGGTGCGACAGCCAGATCAGCTCGGAAGTTCTGTAACACCGTTTTGAAAGATAACCAAATCTTCAGAGTTAGAGTTGGAAGTAAGCAGCGGTAGCCTCGTTAGAGTGCTTGCAGTTCATGGGAGATCCGATTGATGGAGAATCTCCAATGCACAAAGGGAACGAGAATATGACGAGATAAATACCTGATTTTCTCAGAGGTTGGTAGATTTAGAAGCGGATATTTCAGTATATTGTAGCTGCTTGATGAACTGATTACTTAGGATATATATCAAATTTTTATACACACTACAGTCGACAGAAATTTGCAGCCACAGGAGCAACCAAGAAAGTTGATATCTCAACATAGCAACCTACTGAGTCATATTGTTTGATTTTACAATTCAGTGTTTCTCACTGAGTGTATTTACTTGATAGACTGTCCAGTGAACAAGAAAGTCCTTATTAGCATATGGGGCGAATGCATACATGCAGGTGAAACTGATTTCTGAAGAACTCGAATGAACCGAGGAGGAAAATTTGTATCTTCGGTGCAACTTCAGGACAAAGACGAGTGATGACTGACAAAAATGTATGAGGAGATGCACTGAGCACCACCTTTACTGTAAACCATCCTTGGTGTAACTTCACAACGTTCTGTTTTTCAAAATAATATTGAAATTATTCCGTGCAAACCAAATCAGAAATTCTCACAAATCCAATTATTATTTGCTTTGGAAGAGTAGTACCGAAGATATGACTGTTCAAGGTTGAACCAGAGGGGAGGGAATAAAGCTCATGGTGTTTAGCACGATAGTCTTGAAGCTGATATTCACCATGAATAGGGCAGCCTGCGTTCAACGGGACGTTTTTTGCAAGAAATAGACCGATCGCATAGAAGTTACCAGATGTCCTTCATTAAGATGAAACAAAATTGTTACCGTCCGTCGACCGTCGAAGAGTTTTCAGAGACCTTATAAATAGTGTAGCACGCCTATACATGTATCGCGATATCTCGAATATCTCACCAGCTGGATCATGAGGTGCCAAGATGCAGCATATTCAGTCGCCTAGGAACATGAACGATTCAGCTGGGTTTCAAGTGAGTCACTCCTCAAAACCAAATCGATGGGCAAATGAGTGCATTTGTCGGGTTTGGTCCAATTTCGGTTCAAGAAGAACGTAGGGTTGACGGAAACTCGTGGACTGCGCCTAGTTGATGAGCCCCAAGAAAGACAACACCGGCTGTGGGCTGTCGAAGAGCATTCAGCAACTTTATGAGTAGTGTGTTATGTCTCAAACATATTACGTTTTCGTCCTGAACATGATATATTTTAGGCGCAACGGAGATTCATGCAATACCGTAAACAAGAGAGACGAGACAAAAAGCGCACGGAAACCACATCCGTGCTTGATATGTATATGTGCGTTAGGTAAATTTGTTAGTTGCCAGAAGACTCCAGAATTTCGTTTACATAGCTTCTATGAATGTTGTATGGAGTGATATAAATGGACAATAATCGACAGAACCAAACGTCTCTGAATGTAAGACGACTCTGCTTCAAGGCTTTTCTGAATAAACGTCAAAATACGCAATAGTAGTTCCTGTACTTTGTTGATGGAATACTATACACAAGCTTGTAGAACCCCAAGATTAACGAGGAATTGTTTTTAGCAACCTTATGCTTAGTTTGTTCCGGCCATACAATGTGGTGAAACATACAATAAAAAGCATATTCTGGCGGCTTCATCTGAGTCGCCCGTTCCAAGTAACTGGGTTTCAAAATGGGTGTACTTAGCGAAAAAGCGGTGTATTTTTCCTAAGTCTGCTTAACACGATGGAGCTTTCATACACAAGAAAGAAAATTATTGATTCTCCAGCTAATCAAACAGAAAATGTTACTTTCTAAATTCTTATGTCTGGTTGTTATTCGGACTACTTTATATTCGCCACACACTGCTGATGTTTCCCAATGAGGATGAAACAACTAAAATATGCTTCTCGCTTTTCACCGTAAACCGACCCTATTTTGACACAATCTTATTTGAAATTCCCCTTACTTCATGTAAATTATAAATATTGGTAATCCTTATGCACTAAGTATTGAATATATTTTCTGGTTAAGTTAGAAACTGGGGATTACTTCGAGCTTTGGTGAATTACTTTGTTGGTGGTTCTAAAGTTAAGCTCAAAACGGTAAGAAGGGTAAATTTTGACATCCTGGAAAGTTCATCTCGACCACAGTCTGAGTATTTCACTTTCCTACCTTGTATTCCGCGGACTGGTAATAACAGTTCTCATGATGTGAGTGGGTTGTACAGCAGTGATCATTAGTTTTAGTTTAATGCTGGGCACGAATAAAAGATATGGTCGTTTTATAATGACCTAAGTATCTATCTTAACCTCTCTGTCAAGTTGGAGTTATCTCAGCTTTCACCAAAGTTATTCAAGTACATTCATTAACAAGGGGTGTTTTATTGTTGGGCTTTTTCAAAATTGTTTAAAGTGAAAGTGTAGCTTACCTTGTTGGACTGCCACCGTTTGCCATCGGATAGCTCACTGTCAAGAGACCCCGTATGCATAAGCCGTTGTTTGTAGTTAGTCCTCCAAACCCTCCGGGACCCATCATCTTTAGATGCTTATGTCAAGGGACTAACGATCATCATACATATTAATACATTTTCGGAAGTCCTCCTAGTACTTGACCAACCGTTTTCAAGGCAAGAACTCATTATGTTTTTTTCTGTAGGTTGATCTCCGTTGGTTAAGGCCGGACGAAAACGGTCATTCCGAGCAACTCACATGTATGGGTCGGAGTAATGCAGCACTGTTTGTCAACGGTGTACACTGTTTCACGATCTCAATCAATTCAACATCGAAGTCGGACGATCAACAAATATGCCAACCGCCAATTTTAATATTTGCTCCTGGGGGACCTGGAGGAGATGGTGGTCAAGGTGGGAATGGCGGTATTGGAGGAGAAGGTGGTAAAGGTGTTGCAACTTATTGTAGCATGTTACGAACTTCGTTCATTCAAACAAACTCCCATCGTCCCTGCACGTATGTACCTGGTCGCGAGCGGGAATCGGCTTATTCCCTCATCACTGAAGCCGCAATTGATTTGTTGCAAGGCTCACGCTATGGCGGTCATTCCCAAAGATATTCTCGAAATGAGCGGGCGGGAGTATTCCGAGAGCCTCCGGTATCGGATAACATCCTAGCTTCCTCCTTCATTTCATTTATGGCGGATAAACTAGAAGGACCAAATGCTTTCCTAAAGCGCACAAGGCCTAAAAGTTCTAGTCGTCAGCGCTTCTTCTATGCTGGGGATGGTAAGTTCCGCCTCGGTTTTTCCTTTTCATTGAGCCTGAATGAATACGAACTATTCACTACGATCTATTTGTGTGCTAGTTAACATTTTGTAAATTCAATACGTCCAAAGTGAGCTGTTCGACTACCCATTGCGCTGTACAGGATAGGGCATGTTAGGTGATTGGATGACATTGCCAATTATGGCCGTGCAATAGTGTTATCTCTACTGGGCTTCGCGTTGAACCGGTTTGTATTTAGACTGGGAAAGACTAGTGCATCATAGATACCGATCAATGACAGCGACCATCGCTCAGCGCGCACACGGCATCTCACAACGATGAATTGTAGTCCCTCAGTTATGAATAAAGATGGGTTTGACAGTTGCTGACTAGTCGATTTTTTCCACTATCCGCCAACAGTTGTTTCGACTGAGTTGGGTCGAAAAATAAATGCGTATCACATACCTTGATGGAGTCAGGTATCAGCATGTCGTGTCTCATTAGCCTGCAGTTCAAGATGCTCGAGAAAATGAGGCAACTGATTTTATTTTGATGGCACTTCAGAGAATGACATTTTAGAATCCTCCTGTACGTATAGCCTTGGATTTGTGCAGCCAGGACCACATGAGGATGAGTTTTCTTTATTCTCGTTGAATCTGTTTTGAAGATCCCTTTTCTAGATGGAATCTTGCTATCTGCACTCTGTTTGTATGTGAATCCAGTAGTAAATGCCACAGAAAGTGCCCTTTTAGTCTCGTTTAGTTCACTTATCAGCTGATTGCATAACTGTGGATTACTAGGTCAGTTGTATGAACGGAAGATGTTTTGGACATTACTCGTTTTGAATGAAAGAATTCGGACGCTAGGAAATTTAAGTGAATTCCAGTTGCGTTCACGATTTCTAACGATTTCATCAACTGCGCAAAATGAAACATAGACAAAACTATGTGGAATGTCTTGGAGTTTGGAGTACATTTGGAAAATTGCTTGTTTTTTTAGACTTGATCCACTTGCACAACCGGGCCTGTCGTTAAGCCAATACAATAAAACCTGTCAATAAATGCACCTCCATAAAGAACACCTTGTAGTTAACTACAGTTTCGTCTTTCAGTCAAGTCGACCTGATCTCATAGACATTCTTCAAACATCGCTTTCGGGTGCGAAGCATGTCAAAAACAATATTTGTTGTACATGGTTTGATGGCTCCAAAGGAACGTTCAGCTTTTCCCGTGAAGACAGCAGCTTAGTGACCGTAGGTGTTTAATAGGTTCTTTATTATTTGACACACAGTATGAGTAGTATCAAGGGTACTCTATCGTGTGGCAGTTAAGCTTTAGTGCATGTTACTTGTGTACTGCTGTTGGTGATCGAGATGATGTGATATTTTAGCAAAATTTCGGGACACATGCATTTCTCATCGTTCCCAATTGACCGAATTGACAAATTGTATAACATGATGGCTTCCCAAGTATAAAGCACAGAAAATTCTCAGAAAGACTGAGACTGTAGGCAAGAAGATCGGGGAAGATCTTCGACAAATATGGAGCCCCATGCGTAAAGTAGAATCGACTGAGTCTTCGTTAACAAGCTGGTTTTTTTGTTCTGGGTAGCAAATTCTCCCTTAGTTGAACGAAGGCCGTTAGCTTATCCATATGTTCACTTGATCTCTGACCTGATAATCGGGTTTAAGGTGAAACCCGAAGTTTTTGAAGACTTCCGCTGTTTTGACAGTGGAGTTATCTAGTCCTATTTTGTTCGTTCGTCGGTCGAGGAAGGAGACGACCTTAACGGTGCAGAGACTAATAATTCTGTGCGTCAGTATGATGAGATTTTGCATCGGAATAATACATCGTCGAGACTACCAGTATAGACAGTAAGCTGTCGTTGAGAATTGCACTGAATGGCGCGTCTCGTTCTGTTGGGCTGGATACTGGTAACTTTGGAGAGTTACACAATACAATGGAGAATGCCTCGTCTACCACAACGGAGCCCTTCCTAATTAGGCCAAGTAATGTATAAAATGCTTAATCTGATGCGACTTCAAAACCGGTGACGTTCCCAAACTGATGGTGATGATTTGAAGAGGCATGAGACAGCATCAACTGCACGTTGTATTGAAAAACGAGGACTGCAAATTATTTTGTTGCGATGGGAGTCTATGCATTCTGACATGGTCCCCTCATCTTCGGTATTCCTGTGATTACATGCGACGAGTTGCGGGTTTTCACAATAATGACAGTTTCCTTTAGTATATAATACTTGGTTTCAGGAAGCAGTAGAACGTCCTGGCCCTTTCTCGATATGAATGAGTGTTTTTTGATGACCCTAGGTTTGTAAACTCACACGTTTCAACAATTGCTGTATTCCTTGATTCCAATTGGCTATGCGAATCAGTAAGCTACTTTTTAACCGGGTGGTTTTTCTAGCCTGATTTCCACCGCGGAGGCATTGCAGTTGTATAAATTAAGAGAATCAGTGTTGTGAGGAATTCAAGTTGAAGTGCGCTCATCTTTTTTAAGCCGAAGAATGAATATATGAGTATTATACGCGATTTCCAGTAGCGGATCCTGGCTTCGTTTGCCAAAAGTTGCTCTTGGACATGAAATTCTCTGTTAGTAGTGCAGAATCACCTCTACATAAATGCAAATGGTGGACGAGAATGGTGGATGAAAATTTTCGTAACACGAGATCATATTGTTGTGGAAATATCTTGACCGGTGAACACTGGCGAATTTTTTTCATTCTGAATTCTTATGGTTCACGTAATCGGACATGGTGCAAATGTTTTTCTGTAAAAACTATACCCGAATGCCTAATACTAGGCAGTCTACCTTTGGAAGGCCGCAGAAAACTCATTTGTGGGAGGTATTTGGAGGGATTCGTTAGATTTTTTAGTAAACCGTCTCAACTAAGGACACCTAATTTGCTCATGATTGCGCGCACTGAAACCTCCATAAATTTGTTTGTATAATTTAGAGTGATTGTCTCCTCATCTGCTGCTATGATTCCCATTCAATGGAACACTATGCCTATGGAATTGGCACGGACCCTAATGTCTTAAAGACAGCACTGATTAGAGGGATAACTTCCAACTAATCACTATTTGGACGTCCTTTAGGTCTTTAGATCCTGTTCAAAACTTATTGGCAGGCAGAACCCTCTTAGCAGGAATCAAACATACGAAAGATGCGAATAAAATGCATTAATCCACACCTCGAAATTGTTGGAAAAATGCTGGTGACTCAGGTTTGTTCATCGCCTCGTTGGGCGTGGTATGCCTCATCTTCTGACTTCCCTTCTGCAAACATCGGAGAAGCTTGTTCAAGATTTTGGCGTACTGAAGATTATGTGTTCAAAATGTTGATAGTAACTAGGCGTAGAATTAACCTTTTTCGGGATCAATAAAAGTTGCTGGAACATCTTTTACCCACTAAATCCTCTAGTTAGTATTTACGTACAAAATGTTCATGTAATATTTCAAGAAACCTTACTGTTTGCCTAATGATGCCTGTATACCAAAATTATAAAGAAATCTGACGAAAAAAGCATTTTCAAGTACTGGTGGGGGTGTACGCCATACGACAAACATTGGGGGCATTATATCAGGCAGTCCCGCGGTTCAAGAAATGATTATTAAAATTTGAACGAAGAGGTTTCAACTGTGGGCCTCATCCTTCGTCATATCCAGTAATAAGAACTGCGTAGAGTGTAAATACATTCTACAGTCTGGAAACACAAAGCGCTTTGGGATTGGAGTAAATCTGATGACACGTTAGAAACAAGACTTTTCAACCATTGGGCTGTGAATTTGGGCAGCGAGGGTTAGGTTTTAAATGATCAACGAATGTACCGACGACTAACTTTGTCAGCGGTGGTAGAAATCAGCGATTTTCGTATTCGTTATTACCTGACTCAGGCGCTCATCAGCTAGTTAAGCGAATAATTGTGTGTGCAGAAAGTAACATATCATCACGTCTGTTTTGGGGATATTTAATGACCAGGATCCTTAATTACTTTTCAGACTTTTTCTCACTTACATCTTCCATATCCATGATTTATTACACTATATTCCACACATATATTTCAGGAGGCCCTGGTGGTCAGGGTGGAGACGGTGGTCGTGGAGGGGACGCAGGGGATGGTGGAGATGGAGGCGTTGTAACAGTCACTGTGGACGATCCTCGGCTACTCATGTCCATTGAGGTAAGTCAGGAACTGACGGACTTTTGTTAACGTGTGTTGTCGTAACCTCTGAGATTCTCCAAGTTCTGTGTTGAACTCTGACCACTTTCTAGTGCAACGTCTCTGGTGGTCATCCGGGATCTGCAGCTGAAGGTGGTGCGGGCGGAAACGGAGGGATTGGCGGGCGACCTGGAAAAAGTTCGCTAGAGGGATTGGCGGGCGACCTGGAAAAAGTTGGGGAGATTTGTCCAGCAATGGATCTCGGGATATCAGCAATTTCGATCGAGTTTCGCAACCCCTTCTCACCACAAGTTCGCTCCCGATACATGACTGTCCAGTTGACGCTTGCGCTGAGTGCGGTATTCATAGAATGTAAGTTTCAGTACCTTTTAGTAACCTTTAACTGCGATATTGGTGGTACACTTCGTACAAACAACAAATGACAGCAAACCCACCCATTACCTTTTTCACACGCTCAGGCTTTGCTATTCATCGTAAAAAACTTCATTTAACACTTCTTAACCAAAAAGTCTCAGCACTCAGAGACGTACGAGATTTATGACTCAGCGTTTACAATTTAGGAAGGTTAGCAGTTCCTAGGGGATTTTCTAAATTAGCGTATGATTGTATGGACAATTATTTGGTGAATCTGTGAGTTCATTTTTCATCCATCCATACTGAAAAAGGGTAAATCCCTGTACACACTTTCCATCGTTTTTCGGAATCACCAGTAGTGTGCATCTCACGAAGTTGTGCGGAGAAGCCAGTTAATATGTGACCACGTGATATGACTCATGTGAGTGGCATCATATCTTGCACATGCCAGCTACTCACACCACTGATCGACCATTCGTGGCCGAACTTTATTGAACTATTGACCAGCGAGCTGTTCGAATCCCCGTACATAATATTGCGATACTCTGTTGATTAGTCTCGACGAAGATGAAACAGCTTTGTGTTCTTTACCGTATTATGTGCTCCTTGTCCTAATAAAATGCTACACCGACGAGTCTTGTGGTAGAGGAATGTTCCGAAGTTGTACCAAGAACCAGAGAAATAATCAGTTCAATTTTGTCTGAGTTATTTGTCACCGGATACTTGGGCTATCTGGAACAAGATTAATCCTCGAAAGAATATCAGAAAAACAGATGTTCCGATGGTTTCATTCGTTTCGAAATGAGTGCGTTTAATAAACCCAGTTAGGTTTCAATGAATTTTGGGTTTGTGTTCTCGAGGAGATCCGTATGTATTATTGGTCCTATACATCCGAATACTTATCGACAACCAGAAGCTCATGTAACGTTGTATACTTCTCATGAAACCTACGAGTAGCGTCCCGTCACCCGTCACAACTCCTTCCCCACATCTGATGGAAGGTTAGTATGAAAAATTATGGAGCCTTTTTACAGTGCTTTCTTACCACCAGTAAACGTTTTTAGCAAAGGAACATGCCAGAAATCCTGGGGTATCTGAGAAAGATCAAGATGTCGCTTGAGAATGTCAGCGTTTCAAAAACTGTACAAAGGATATTTTTGCCCACATATCTAGTAGCGTGTAACCGTTTAGTTTGTGTTGGTCAATAGACAAGTTCACAACAAAGGGGCTTTTTCCTTTCACTGATGAATGAGGTACAACTGTGTGCTTCATACACCATCACCACTGCTTATTTGGTTAGCTTTTTCCGTATTTCCAGGAATTCCGTCCCCGAATCACATTTGGGCACGTACACATACACGCATCTTTCGAGCAACACCGGGGATGTGTGCGAAAACTCTGAATACATTGGATCACTAACGACGTCCGGATTACAGTCATCCAAAAATGAACGAAATTCATTGGTGTGCCAGTTCGATTCAGAGGAGGACGATTTGTATGTACCTGTTAGTCAACTCAAGTCCACAACCCAGTTAACTCTCATTCCTGGTGCTTGGGGTAGAAATGGCCCTGCGGGTACTGCGGGGGAGCGTGGTGCAGCAGGTTTGAGAGGAAAAATGGGAACCATCACTTTTCGTGTGACAAATTCCGAATTTGAATCAGAATCGAGTCAACGCAGCTCCACAAACGTAGGTTTGATTCCTGTTGGCTATTAGTGAATAAGATGAACCGCTTATATACCATCGTCTCTGTCACAAACTTATATAACCATAATTTAAACCGTCATGACAGTCAACATAGGTATCATATTGGAGCAGTGAAGTACATTTTGTGGTGAAAGCAATTTGATCCACAGCCTCTGGTTTCGTTGTGTTCAAACCTATATTCAAAACCTGAGACTGCTCTCGAAATTGCTGCACACTGCTGACAGGCTGTTTTTTAAATTATTCACCCATCATTCTCCTGGCACCTATACAGCTTGTCTCAATATCATCACATATGTTATTTTAGAGCTCTGATTCTCGTTCTGAACAAGAATTGGATTCTGATCGTCAGTATTATCTAGGCACGGGATATTCTAGTGCCCCGCTGCAGCCGTCCACATATCCAACCTACCTGAAGCGATTCCAAGTGAAAGTTCTAGATTTTGATGTAAGTCATACTAATAGCTGTGGTTATACCCAATCCTTTGTTTCATGTGCTCCAGAAGCAACATAAACATGATATTTTTTCTTGTATTAAGCCTTGATTAATGTTGCACATGTCAGTCTTGTTTGAACACTCATCATGCTGTCTTGGCGGAATACTCTGGTCTATCCACAGCAAATTTAACAAATACGGCAACCAGCCATGGCTCGTCTAAGTTTGGCTGATTCGATAAGCTTCTAAGGTGGTCATTCGCAGTCTTACATCTGGTCTATCCACAGCAAATTTAACAAATCCCGCAACCAGCCATGGCTCGTCTAAATTTTGCTGATTCGATAGGCTTCTAAGGTGGTCATTCGCAGTTTTACGCAAAAAACTAAGGACATTATATTGAACAGCTTAGTGTGCACATGGACTGCTTCAACTTAGACTGTATTTCCAGCTTCCGTTATTTGTCTACGGCATTAAGCCAGTCCTTAGTGGCGAATCACTGGCAGCAAAGCGGCATATTGAATTGCTTCTTTTCGATTGAGGGACGCCCCTCTCTACATATGCATCTCGTGCTGGTTGACTCATGGTTGACTCAATTTAAATAGAGCATAACTTACAAGAGACCCACGTTAGTTTCCTGGAGCTTTTTTGTCATTCCAATCCGGAACGTTGGTGGAATAACAACCATACCATTAGTTTTAGTCGCTTCCTTAAACGCAGTATTAGATGGCAAACACTTCTTAACTATGTTGTAAACCGAAGCCTAAAAAAAATAATTAAAACCGTTTATCCCCTTCAGGTGCTTGGAATGGACGGAGATGGATTCCTCAAGCCAAACGAAGATATCAGTATAACCGATATTCAGTTAATAAATCAGAGTTCTATGCCACTACCCTCTGGTGCGCGTTTGTCATTCTCCTCAACCGATAC